CAAAGGAATCACTATTTCCGGTTATACCAGCGTGACAGCACCCATTATAACAGGGGCCTATTTGCTACATATCGTAATAAATGTAAGTGAGTCCTCGCGAGTGTTTGCTGAGAGAATGAGTCACCACATAGCCTCTATAAACTTTGGCTCTCGTGATTACTGGCGTCTCTGTAATGAGCTACTAATAAGTGCAAGGTCTCTATTCCCCCACCACACACACACACACTTCTTCAATCGATCCTCTGCTGATAAAGCTGAATGCTTTGTCCGTAAATTCCCCTCAGATTCTACCCTTGACTCAACTGGATTATCCCTACCTAACTTCCCACTTAGAACGGATTCTCTATTGAGTGATATACGTATAACCCCTTCCATAGTTTCTGCTATCGTCTCTAACCTTGATTCCCACAAATCATGTGGACCCGATGGCATCCCTGTAATAGCCATTAAGAAGTGTGCTCACGAACTGGCTCTTGTTCTCTCTAAACTGTACAATAAATTGCCTAACTTCTTCCTGATTTCCTGATTTCTGGAAGTCACCGTCTGTTGTTCAAGTTTTGAAGAACACTGGTGAACTGTCTGACCCATCGGCCTATTAGACTTCTACCCCTTTTGGGAATCTCCTAAAGGCCTTAATCAATGCAGAATTAGTTCGTCATCTCTCATCACAGGGCCTTTTCTCAGATGAGCAATACGGCTTTCGTTTCTCCAGATCAACTTCTGGTGTACTAACGATAACTGAGTCTATCGTGCTTTAGATAAAAACGGTAAAGCCCTCGTTGGAACACTTTGACTGGGTCTGGCATTCAGGTCTACTCCACAATTTGAAAAACCACGGTATGTCGGAGAAGCACATATTTTCTAGAAAATTTCTCGAGTATTCAGGCCGCTAAATGTAATTAATACCATTTAATTAAATAAAACAGAGCATTTACTTAAATAAATTGTCGAATTTAATCTATTTCATTATATATATATATATATATATATAGAGAGAGAGAGAGAGAGAGAAAGAGAGAGGGGGATAACCGCCATTTCTTTACAAAAGAATGTCATCTCTCCAAGGTTAAACTGAACGGCCATGAACAGACAGATGACACAGCAAACCAACCTCGCTTCTGCATACCTTTTTACAGGTGTGATACACGAAATACGTTTAGACAGTCTTGAAAGTGACTTTTTCCTGGTGCACTCTCATTTGCCGCTTCGGCCCGACGGCAGATCTGCAAATTGGACCACAAAACATAAGCACCCTGCAGGTCTGTCAAGAAGGACATCCACATAGTCGGCTTATCATCCGATTTTAAATGACTAGCAAAACTGGCTCGAGATACAACAACCTCAGAGATCATGAACTTCAAAATGCACAACTCTTTTGACCACAAAGCGATTGCAACCATCAAAAACTAGTTTTCTCCAACCAGACATATTGTTGTATTGTTTTCTACTTCTGTAATGTCTGCATCTTTTCTCAGGCTTCTTATCCGCTTCATATCGGTTTGTTTGGAAACGCCTCGAGACAATTTTTGCAATGGCTCTTAAAACTTTATCAGGATGCCACCGGTAACGCTCCTTACTCAATTCTTTGGGGCAACTGCTCAATACGTGTTGGCGGGAGCCTCTGTTCAAACCCAACGGTCAATGGAGACTCATTCTTTCCCCGCGTGTGGAGGTTTACTGGCCTGGGTAATGTACCGTATATATTCATATATATATATATATATATATATATATATATATATATATATATATATATATATATAAGGCAGGATGTGTGTGTGTGTGTGAATGAATGCACGGCCGCAATTTTCGACGGATTTGCACCAAAATTTACATGCACATGCTCCAAGTTAGCGGGAAGGCCAAGACCGACTTTCCATTTCCCAACTCCCATCAATAGTGGAAATAATCAAGTTTTTCATGCTTCTACGCCAGTTTTCATGGAGTTTGCGGCCATTTGTACTGGCCAGAGTGAGAGCCAATAGCTGGCTGCCACGAATAGGCAGGAAGATTCTATTGGCCAGCGTGAGAGCCAACAGCTGACTGACACGAATGTTAACTAGCATGCTAGCATGCAAAAAAATCGATAGCTGCATTCGTCACAAGTGTGAAAAATTTAAATCTGCATGCCACTTTACTCCAATTGGCTCATTCGCTTGCTTAAACTCAACGTTGATTCTGATTCCGCAGAACTGGGTTGGGTATGAAAAAGTATTTGTTGTTAACATTCTTTTTTTCATTCGGTTTTTCCAGTTACGAGGCCTTTTTTAAAGCTGATCGTTTTGTGTTCATTTTGTTTAGTTCTTTTTCTCGTAACAGATTTAATGTTTAGTATAGAGCTTAGAAAAAATTCGCAGTGTGAGATAAGCAAATGTAAGGTATGTAGCAACATAGCCCGTATATACATATATATATATATATATATATATATATATATATATATATATATATATATATATATAGGAAAGGTGTGAATCCTCTTCTTCTCCCTCCAGCTATGGGTAAATAGCAGGACAGACTGGATTCTATAGCCTTGGATGGCAACTGGTCTAGGAGAAGGACAACTCTGAATTCAAAACCTGCGGAGGGTCGTTTGGGGACCTTGTGGCACGTAGTGCACCAGGTCTCTGTATTCGGCCTTTCAAAAAGTGTGGATGGTCCTGGACGAAACCTTCACCACTATAATCGAATCTCATGTGCCGGTGTCGGGCTGTTAGTTTCCTGGAAACTGATCTGCTTGACCCTTATACGTCGAACCCGACGGGAGAATCGATTCATAATTATATATATATATATATATATATATTCATAAAACAATAAACAATATTCATTCAGTATAGCCATGGAACTCAGTGTTGGAGATATATTCAGTTCATTTGCTGAACTAAACAAGAAGAAAAACTGAAAAGTTACCAATCGACTGTATAGTTGTGGAAAAGAGACAACAGAACAATTGTTACAGCTCAAACATGTTTATAGAACCTTAAGATCGTCAGTGCAGTGGTTGTGTGAGCTGTGTAAGCAGGACTTGAACAACATGGATTCTGTGTCATGTGACTGTGTGTGCACCTGAAACATTGGCAAGAGAACCATGTCCAAGAGTAAGTTTCGGATTTGCAGAAACTGTTATGTCTGAAGTGCTTAAAATATTCAGAGACTTCTATATTTGTTTTGAGAATTGATGATGAATAAATGCTTTTAACTTGTGTTTTAACAATTGATGATGGAAAAGATTTTAAGTTGTCTCAACAATTGATGGTGAAAATAAATAAAATTCCGTGTGTTGTTATTTTTAACATTACCTGTCTTCATAATAATAAAAAATATTTACCGGCAAAATAAGCTTAAAAGGGGTCTATTTTACCGACACCGGCAAAATAAGCTTAAAAGCATATTTATTTCACTGGGACCGGCAAAATAGTTTCTTCCAAAAGAAACTTATAAACATGAATTTTTTAACTGATTCAGTTTTTCTTATCAAATAGCGAAATGAAATGTGTTTTTTTTTTTTTTGTTTTTTTGAACGGCCACTTTTCTTGATCTTTTTGCATTCATGCAAGTGTTTCCCATGGATCGATACTTTGACCTACATTGTTACTAATTTTCATTAACGACCTTCCTGATTATCATCAGTTCCTGACTTGGTATATATGACGCAACCATTTATTCCTGTCTGAATAGAGGTACGATAAGGTCGAATTGGCAGCTGAGCTAAAAAATATTATCTACATTCTATTGTGAAGTGGGACAAGAAGTAGCTTGTTAATTTTAACTCCTCCAAAACGAAACTGCTTTCTTTTGATCGTATGAGTGAACCCTTTTAACCTTCCATTAGCACGACTGATGCTAACCACCAGAAGAGTGACTCATTGCGCGTTCTCGGACTAAAGTTTTCAGCCGACATGAAGTAGAGAGATTATATTGAATGAATTGCCAGTTCCGCAGCTAAAAATGTTAGTTCCCTGTGTTGTACTAGACAATGTTTCTCACCGGAATCAATCTTACATGGTTGTAAATCTACAATTTGCCTTTTCTTTGAATATTGCTACCACATCTGGTCTGGTGATCCTGCTATATATTGAGAGATTCTTGATAAAATCCAAAGAAGAATCTACAATTTTATTTTCCCTGACCTGTCATCCCGACTCCAGTCACTTTCCCACCACCGCAACGTACTTTCTTTGTGCCGTTTGTAAAAATACTTTCATGGTAATTGTTCTGAAATACATTTCTCTATGGTACCTGAATGAATTAAAATACCTTCATGAATTTAAGCGCAGTACTACATTGGCGACAAGGTCTCGTTAGTTAAAATAGCTACATGTAACCGTAAGTTCCTCTATCGCACTTCTCACTTGTGGAACTCTGTTTCCGCTTCTTGCTTTGAACTTCAAAAATTTAAATGCAACGTCAATCATTATCTTGCCTTCTAAGTTCCTGTTCATTTATTGTTCTCTCTCTCCTTAATATTTTTTTCCTCATATTATCTAACACTGAGTAACCCAATTGCGTCTTAGTGGCGTTGTTGCCTTACTTGGAGTGAAATGAATTCAAAAGCAAAAAAAATAAATAATAATAAACAAGCACATATTCCAATGACAAAAAAAAGTCAAAATATTTCTGTGGACGACGACAACGACGACGTTGAAGGTGACGAAGACATCTATTACACCGACGACATACAAATTGCTATGACATTTATTTTTGACGCAGACAGCAAGAAAGCCAATTAAAATGCCTGTATACATTTAACATTGACATACGTTTACACATGCATATTGATTGATTGATTTTTTTTTAGGGCTTTAAAATATTTGTAAATTGTAAGACGTTTTGGGGAGGTATATTGATCTAATGCAAGTTCTACCAATTAACCCATAGCTGGGGGAACATATGGATTCATACCTTTCACAACCATATTTGGATGTAAGTGACTATAACAGCTACTCTGATTTCCAATTACGAGCCTTTATCCATTGCACCAGAAGCACATCCAAGTTCACCTGCTATTCCCAAGTGGTCAACCATCTAGGTATTGACTAGGCACGACGTTGCTTAACTTCGCTGATCGTACGGGAACCAGGGACACACAGCAGGGATGTGGCACAAGGCCGAACCGAGGACACATAATGAGAAAAACTTAAACCTAACATGGCCTCTTCAGGGCAAGAGAGACAGGGGAATGCAGCAAGCCATTTATCTGACGAGCTTGTGTGAATAGATGATGGAACGGGTGGGCATCTCTCCCAAATCAGTGTGGTTTTCCTTCAGGTCGTGGAACCATTGATATGATTTTTTCACTTCGTCAGGTTACTGAAAAAGTTCGCGAGAATGAACTCTATACCGTCTTTATCGATCTGACCAAAGCTAACAGAAGTGCCCTCTGGAAAGTACTCAAAAAGCTTGACATTCCTGACATTATGCTAAATGTCATCATCTCGTTTCACGAAGGAATGAAAGCATCTGTTATATCTAATGAAGAGTTTTCAGAAACTTTTGATGTAACAAATGTCACAAAACAAGAATGTGTCATGGCTCTTTTTTTCGCTCTCTTCTTTTCCGTCATTCTACACCAGGCTTTTAGTGACCTTGACATGGCTGTGAAAATTTGAATTTCACACAAGTGGCAGCCTCTTTAACCGTCAACGCTTGAAATCAAAATCACTGACTCGGGCAAGCATTACTCGTGATCTTTTGTTTGCTGATGACGCTGCGATCGTGGTCATCTCAATCGAAGAAGTTCAAACACTCGTCAATCGTTTTCCACCGCTTGCAAAGCATTCGGATTAACTATAAGCATAAAGAAAACTGAAGTTGTCCATCAACCAAGGCCTAAGCAGGTCAAGAGTGTAAAACAAGAACTACCTGCTCATACCTTTCCAATCGTTCCCATTACTGTTGGCAGCAACAACCTGAAATCATTTTTGTACTTAGGAAGCAAAGTTAATTCAAGTGCCTCTTTGAATGACGAAATAGTCAACCAAATATCAAAGTCAACCAATGCCTTTGGGGAGGTTAACCATCGCCTATGGGATTTCACTGAAATCGAAGATCAGTGACTATCGATCAGTCATTCTCACCACACTTCTTTATGGGTCAGAATCGTAAACGTCATACAGGACACACATCAATCAATTTGATGCTTTTCATAAACGCTGTCTTCGGTCAATATGCGGTTAAACACGCCAGGACAAAATCTCTAACCCTGATCTTTTCATCAAATATAGCGTCGGTTGAATTGAATTCTTTCTGATGCAGGCACAGTTCAGGTGGGCTGGTCATGTCATCAGAATGAGTGATGATCGGATGCCGAAAATCCTCATGTATAGCCAACTTTTTCATGATAAGCGTAATGTAGGCCGTCTTTGGTTACGCTTCAAGGATAAACTTAAATACAATTTAATTGTTGCAAACGTTGCTATAGAGGAATTCGAACTTGCTGCTAAAAACCGAGCAAAATGGAGAAATACCTGCTACCGAGGTAGAACTAACTTTGAAAAGAATCGTCTCAACCATCTGAGAGAATTAAGAATTAACACTAAATCTCGGGTTAATCCATCAGCCCATATGACGGTCAACCCTTCAGTATGCCATTCGTGTGCATTTGTTTGCAAATCCCGAGCAGGATTGTTGTCTCATACGAAACATAAACATAAAAACTGAAGTGAAAGATACTTATACGGCGAAAACGACGGGAGAGTCCATTATCATCATCATCATCATATGTATGTATTAAATTAAAATAAACGTGCGAATTGTTTGGTAAGCGATTTGGAAAATATACATCTGTTTCAAACGTGCGGAAAAGCCCTTTAACGAAACAACCAAATCACGTCATTTTGACGCTAAAGTTATCCAAATAGAAATGATTTTATAATGTGTTATCGACGCAAAACTTAAAGAATAGAAGAAAAGTCGTTTCCAAGTCCACAGAGTGGAAGAATTTTTGGCTAATATTTTATCCCCTTTCTTATACTAATCGATTTTTGTTTTCGTAAAAATGGCATACCGTTGCCGTCTGTGATGAATTTTGTCTAAATCCTTGAAATAAACAAAAACGAAGATTTAAGTAAAATGATTTTGCGTTGCAGAAAAATTTCGAGTTGCAATCGAAAAACTGTTAAGTAGAAAGATTTATGCTTCCAAAAATAAATGAGAAGTTTAAGTGAATTTTCAAGAAAAGTGGCCTGACGATTGCGTCTAGCATGAAACAGACTGACGCCTCTAAGTCTTGACTTCAGTGTTCACTTTTATATTTAAACACGCTCTGTCTCTTATATAGCACACCTTAAGACTATATTTCTTCTTTATATATATATATATATATATATATATATATATATATATATATATATATAAATAGCAGGACAGACTGGGTTCTATAGCCTTGGATGGCAACCGGTCTAGGAGAAGGACAGCTCTGAATTCAAAACCTGCGGAGGGTCGTTTTGGGAACCTTGTGGCATGTATTCGTTGCACCAGGTTTCTGTATTCGTCCTTCAAAAAGTGGCTGGTCCTTGGCTGGTCCTGCACAAGGCCTTCACCACTATAAACAAATCTCATGTGCCGGTGTCGGGATGTTGGTTTCCTGGGGACTTATCGGCCTGGCCCTCATACGTCGAACGCGACGGAGAGTCGATTATATATATATATATATATGTATGTATGTATGTATGTATGTATGTAAGTATAATCATTTCACTGCAAGCAAGGCAATAAAAGCACTAAGACGCAACTATGTCACATGTTAAATGACTTGAAAATAAAATTAAATATCGACTTACATTTTCTTGAAAAAAAAAAAAATATATATATATATACTGTATAGAATTTGCGATATTTATAAGAGAACATTTCTCAATATCTCAGATTGGGCGTATATACATATGGGCTGTGTGGATGTAGGAATCAATAATGCATGGTGACTGTGAGCTTCACTATCTATATATATATATATATATATATATATATATGCGAAAAACAATGCAAATGTAAAAGGATGTATGTATACCTATGTTTTGTAGACTATGTAAAAACGTTTGATAAACTACGTTACAAATAATTGTTCGAACTGCTCGTTAACCTCAACATATTTGGGAAGGATATTAGAATAATCCATAATCTATACTAGCAGGAAGCCATCTGCAGATGGAAAGAAAATTAATTCAGTAAATATACAAAAATAGAAAAAGGTGTAAGACAAAGATAGGTCATCTCACCGGACTTATTCAACCTATACAGTGAGGTAATTCTGAGGGAATAGTCATAAGCGAGAAGGAAGTTAACCTCAACATATTTGAGAAGGATATTAGAACATCTATACTGGCAGCCAAAACCATCTGCATACGGAAAGAAACTGAATTCAGTATATATACAAAAATAGAAAGAGGTGTAAGACAAGGATGTGACTTATCAACCTATACAGTGAGGCGATTCTGAGAGAACTAGAAGTCCTACCAGGATTCATTATTAGTGACCACAATTCTAACAACATAAGATATGCAGATGACTCAATGTTGATAAGAAACACAGAAAAGAAACTAAAAAATCTCCAACTGGGGTAATGAATGAAAGCGAGAAGAAAGGACTAAATATCAATTGGAAAAAAAAGATAGAATTCATGGTTGTTAGCAAAAGGGACAACCCAACATTCAAATAACAAAATGGGGATGCCAATATCAAACAAGTGCGGAAATTTAAATATCTGGGAATTTCTTTAGGAGAGGACAGAAAGTGCGACACTGACGTCCGAAGTTTCTTTGGGATAGTGAACGAAGCAAGAAAAATTTATTTAGAAACAAAGAAAAGAGAACTGAATTGTTATGTAATATCATTACTCCTTTATAGTAATAAATGCGAAACAATCTCGGCTGAGATGAAAAAGGTGACAGAAATGTGGTTCTACAGAAGGATGTTGAGAATACCTTATACATGTGAGCAACGACGAAGTTTTAGATCTATTGAAAAGAAAAAGAATCTCTTATACTTAACACCAGAAAGAGACAGTTGAAATTCATAAGAC